CAGAAGAACTAGATGGCGCCAACTACCACTGGCAAACACTCAGAAAGAGATCAAAATTGGAGATCCTGAATAGTGTGAGAGAAAAATGCGGGAGAAAATTTTAAAAACATGAAAAAGAATAGGATTACTGATTGGATAGAGAGTGGTGAAACCCCTGAAACTATGGCCCTTAGTCACCCTTTGGGCCTGGAATTGGACTCACTCTCATGGCAAACTTTCACCCAAACAATAGACAGGCCTACAAGCTGAACAGCTACACCAGGGAAATGCACTCCTTAGAACAATCAACCATGAGAGACCAGAAGGGAAGCTTTTGAACAGGGAGAAACTAGGGAAGCAGGAATGCATAGGTGGGAAGGACACAGGGAAAGAGTAACCACAGGGAGGAAGTGGGAGGAGAGCTATTACATTGTGGGGATTATAATTAGTGTCACAAAGCAGAATGTGTATGAACTGTTAAATGTAAAATGAATCTGCTTTGTAAAATTTCACCCAAATCACTATAAAAAGTTAAACTTAAAAAAAAAAAAAAAACACACAACACAATAGAGGTACTGACAACAGGTAGTTAATCTCCGAATATGGTCTAACCCTACTACCTTGGAAAGATCTAGAAAACACAAGAATACACAAGCACATCATCACATGTTATGTAGCCTCTAGAAAATTCTCACTTATGAGACAATGAGAGTGGAAAAAGTCAAATAACATCTTAGTGTTTTTATGAAAATAGTTCTGACCTCGAAGACACACTAACAGGGTGTTGACAGCACTTACACTTTAAGAATCACTCTTTCAGTGCCCCCCAAAATAAGGCTGTGTCCAAATACTTTTGAAGGAAAAAAGAACTTTTTTAAAAAAATCTAACCAAGCATAAATAGTGTATTGCACTAAACTCATTAAGCTAGTGGAAAGTTTATCGGATTTGTGATTTTTTTTATTAACTTTATGATGCTGATTAGAATTAGATACTAATTTGATACAGTAGGAAAGAAGTATAGAGGATATGGACTGAGCATTAGAAGCAATTTGTAGTGTATTTTCTAATGTGTAAAAATATTTTCATCAAACTTATTTTTACCTTAAAAAGCCACAATATATTGTTGGTTAATGGGACAAAGATTGATGAGTGTTGGTGTATATTTTAGACTTAATAGTTGAGAGATTTAAAAGTTGGGTAAAGATTCATACAAGCTTGCATAATAGCATATATCAGATTCTATAGAGTAAGGGAAGTGTCAGAGGACTTCTG